ATATCTGCACTTGATCTATTATAGAGATTCAATTAATGGGTATTTTTATACATTTTTGTTTATAAGTAGATTTTTGAGACTACAAGTGGATCATATTTATTTTTGGTGAAAAGGCGACTGGTAATTTAATTTCCCTACAATAATATGAGTAGAACTGAATTCCACATAGTTTTGCTTTCCAAAATGGCATTCTCTCCAAAAATGGACTGCCTGACCCCCCTTTAACTTCACATCTGCCCTGTGACCCAAGGGCACTCGTAGCAATGTGGCGTAGTAGTTGACGTGTCGAGATTGTACGCTGCATTGTCATGGTTCGAGTCCTGCTGGGGTTGATGGTGAGGCCAAGGCGAGGTCGAGACTGTAGTCCATTCTGGATGAGAATAACTTTTGGGAAAGCAAGGCTATGTGAAATCCAATGGGAACGCAAGGTATACTCATAACATTGTGAAAAAATTCAACGACCAGTCCTCTCATCACGTTAAACAAGATAGGGTGAACAAACCTCAGATATTTTAATAAATGTTTATCATGGATGTGATGACCATATTAGCACAATTTTCCAAAGGATAAACAGCAAATCGATGAACTGTTTCAGAAGGTAGTGCAGGACAATTATATTCATACCAAAAGAAGCATTTCATTCAGAATCTCGGCTAATCATCATCGGGAACACAGTATTTTCCCCTTGATTGGGCGAATAATAGTCATGGAAACCCTGAAGGATCCTTACAAGGCAAATCTTTCAATTCTTCGTTGTCTGAACTCAGCTACTTTCAAATAATGCGTTCAGCCTCGGCTTCAAGATGCGTGAATTTTACAACAATTAAAATAACCATGCTATCGACGAATGCTGATAGATTAGTCATTTGGCAACGTTATTACTCTGATAACTATAAGAGCCATCATTATAACTTGCAACAATTCACAAAACACCCAATCTTTCAAATATTATATAATTTGGGAGAGTCGCCAATTTACCTAAAGTAAACTGGGCGAATCGAAGGTATAAAGACCAAGATAGTGTGTCTTTTTCTATAATCACAGTCTCCTTTCGTTGTATAGAAGTTGTCTGATCTCGTTTTCACAACTTGGTCATATTGGTTGGAAGACCCAAAGTAATGCATCTAGTCCGTAGTCCCTAGTACATAGTATTCATGATTACTTCCAGAGTCGGACCGTGGACATGGTACATTCTCAGACGCTTCTCCGCCATCGCAATTGGAATCGTAAGTGAGCCTTGTCACTCTTAGCACCACACTACAACTTGTCAAAGAGACAAGGTCTTCCTACCAATATGACCAAATTGCGAAAACAAGGTCAAACAACTACTAAAAAGGGTAAACTTAGTCATTGCTGAGTTCTTATTACCCAATATGTACCATTATTCCCTTAAGTACTTGTATGGGATGTTGAGGTAATTCAGAAGTAATAAGGCCCGATTAATATTCGAGAGTGAGGCTTCAGTGACCTACATCCAATTGATATAAATTATTCAGTCAGTCAGTCAGTTATTCTTTGTTGTTCCATAAGATAGTTCAAAAGACCATATGAGATAATAGCTCAATATAAATTAATTTTCTAACTCGCAAGGCCAGCGAGAACCATGCCTACAGTACGCTTACACTTGTTCAGTATGACAGTGTTTTCTTGCTCTGCAACTTAGAAATATCCAAGATATCCAGTAAATGAGTAGTCGCTCAAAAATTTGCTTGTCTCTGAACGTGTACATCAGTCCAAGAAAGGTCATGCTAACGGAAATGAGATGGTTACATTTGCCTCAGGGTCAGTATAGTCTTGTCAGGATGAAAAACTAATGAGAATGTTTAGGAGAGTGGAATGCTTCAACGCTTTTGTGTCTAGAAAATTGAGTTCTTCAACATCATATCATCAGGAAAAGCGACAAAGTAAAAATTAGTATTTCCCTATTTTGAGAGCCGAGTAATCATTAATTTAAATGTCGTCATTGCATGTCTGATGTATAAAAAAATTAACTGTCAAACTGAGATAATATGCCCTTTAGTTTGGTTACAGACTCCTTTAGCTGTATAAACTTGCTTCAACTATACCCCCCGTTGCGTGCCCTACCATTGTGGCTGTGTATTCATCCAACATCGAACTGAGGGTCAGGTATATTTCTAGGCTGTGTGGTCTACTGAAAGCAAAAGAGAGACTAGAGCCGTACGGAATGCAGTGTTGTGTTATGCTTTGTGCCCATAACACTTCCAAATTCGGCCATCTGAGACAGCCTTTTGTTTCTGACCGTGGCAGCATGACGTGGGTCCTAGCCAATCGTGGATATATCGCTTTGTAAAATAAGGCATCGACATCAAACGGACCGCCTGATCTGAGTCATGGGCGTCTCTAAGAGAGGCCGGAAGTGGAGGCTGTCCACTAAAATGTCTACAGATAGACAGACAAAAGGATGTAGAAACCCGTTTCTTGACTGCCCTGGCATGTTCAATTAAAATAGACTTCGGTCCCTCCCTCAAAAATGCTACGCGTGTAGAAAACTTTTGACAAATACCCTTTTGGACATCTACTTTATGATTTAAGCTGCCAAATTCGTGATTGCGTCTCTAGATTCCTTTCAAGAATTTTACTTTGGTCTCTTTTTAAAAAAATGTTCAACCCAAGAAGCCAGCACTGAGTCAAAGTCAGTTATAAAGGCTAGTACAATAAAAACTATTTCCCGAATAATAAATTTAAATTCGAATTTTAAGAAAAGGGCCTTAATCACAGGGAAAATGCATTAATAAACAATCTTCTCGTCTAAGTTGAATCAAACCTAATAGCTAAAAAATTGCATATTTCCTTAACGAGATTCGAGCTCAAACCACCCCAGCCCGAGAAAATACAGGGCCTAAATTCTAAGACTTGGCAAACCTATTTAGCAATGTAGAACGACATGTTTTCGAAGAATCCCTCGGAACAGGACACCATGTTTTACGCCAATTTACCAAGCACATAGACAAGAAAGCTGACCGGCTGTAATCCTACTTACCTTTATATATTTTTCGTATTTTAAGTGGAGTTTCGAGTCTACCAGTAAATCAGTAATATGAGATGTGTTCACCCAATTTCGTTTAAGGTGACGAACGATTGCTAGTAGAATTTTCCCACAATGATATGAGTAGAGCTGACGTTTCCATTGAATTTCACATATCATATTACTGATTTACTGGTAGTCTCGAAACTCCACTTAAAATACGAAAACTGAATAACATAGTCTATTGATATAGCCAATATACGTTTGCTTCATCGATACTCCCACCAAAGGGTATGATATGGCAAAAGGCCTGGCCTTTCTTGAAATTCGCATCTGCCCTGTGACCCAGGAGCACTCGTGACAATGTGGCCGAGTGGTTAACGTGTCAAGCTCCCATTCTATACTGTCGCGGTTCGACTCCCGCTGAGGGTGTTGATGAGACCGATGCGAGGTCGAAACTGCAGTCCACTCGTGCCTGGATGAGAACAACTTTTGGGAAAGCAAGGCT